TTGGGAAAAAGGTGTAAAATAGTCTGTCTGTTTTCCTAAGAACTGTTTTAATGTGATTCTGTCTTAATATTACAAGGTTTTCTGAGTGGTCTCTTGCCTTCAGATTTCCCATCCATAATTTTGCATGCTACACACCCTTCCCATCTCATCCATCTTGATTCGATGAAGCAAAAATTTGGAGCTCCGTAGTTCTCACTTTATCCAGCCTCAGGTTACTTCATCGATGTAAAGACTAAATATTTTGAATTGCATGGCAGTGTGTCTTATCACAGCCATACTTAAGTTTTTTTATGTTCACATCCAAACCAACTAGCTTAATAACATTTATTTTAGCTTCTGTAGTTTTTATGTCTGGGGCTTCCCCGGTTTCTCCGTGGCATCACAACAATTACTCCATTCACACACAGAAGAAGGCAATGGCAAACCACTTCTGGATCATCTGCCAAGAACGTATATGAACAGGTCCCAGTCCAAGAAAAGGATGGAAGGATCCTGTTCATAATATGTCGCCAACCTCCTGTAAAGGAGATGGCGTAATAAAGAAGAAGTTTTTATGTTATATCTGTTTTCACTCCAAAAAATTACATCATGAGCACAGACCTGAAGCTGTCTTGTCCCATTTAATTTGAATCCCACTTTTTTTTCTTTGACCTTCCTAATTGCATATTCTAAAGCAAAGTTGAAAAGCAATAAAAGTAAAGTATCACCTTGCTTCATGCTTCTGAATAGGAATGCATTGGATAACTGTTCACATTTAAGGAACTTATTGTAATTTTCATACAAACATTTTAATTTAACTAGTTTAAAGGTGTATGGATCTGAGTCAAACCAATATTAAAAGGTTTGTGGGCAAATATATTGAACACATCGTAATATAAATGGCTTGAGATGCTGTTTTGAATGAGATTTTTATGCCTCATCCTTTAGGTAAAATGTAGCATTGAACTTGGCAGGTACTTTTATGGCCAACCTGTATATTCTGCATATTTATCATGTAACATGGTTCTATAATGTGGCATGTTTCAGGGAATTTATATAAAGTTTGATTTGATCCTTAGGTAAGGTAGGCATTATTTTAAACTGTTATAAGTAAAAATTCAATTTGTTGTAGATGTTACAATAAAAAGCTGTCCCTCCACACGCCATCTAGGTCGGTTGGGCAGAACGGAGGTATAGCTCCTTCTCTTTCTTGACCTCGGCACTAGATGGGGGTGTATGTTTGTATTTATTACTATTCCATCTTCTGTTTGTAGTTACGGCAGACCGTGTTTAATTTTGCCCAGAAAGAACTTGCAACAAAGGCTTATGAAATTGACAAGAAGAATGAATTCCCTAATTTACGGGTGAGTGAATACAAATTTATCTCATTTGTTATCTACAAATTGCCTGTGCTTTTGTTGGGTTATATTCTTTGTTTAATATATGACTTATTTTGTTACATGTATGATTCTGACATTGAATCAACTTACTTCTATTAGGTTAATTTATAAGGCAAAATATAATGAGGTTTGATTTAGAACAGTACCAGATTGTAGATATACCAATAATAGAACAGTAAGATCTCACTAAATTGGGCCGTCTATAATTTAGATTCATGGGTGTATTATACATGTGCAGAATAGACATTTTTCTGAAATTTTGTTTTGAATATAAATATTTTTGTACGTTTTTTTATCATATTTGTGTACAGTACCACCACAGTTAACAAACATTGCTGGATTGTGAATAAATTTGCTTGTTTTTATGAACTATAACTGAAAAGTGTTTTGATATGATTTGGTTCTGTAATTTGGGATTTTTTTACTAATTCAGACTACTTTTTTCTCCTTTTCAGTTTTCATTGTTTTATTGAAAATATTTTGCAGTTTTTTTGAATGGCAGTTATACAATTATGGTAAAAGGGACAGGATAAAATACTGTTCCTTATACTATTTAAGAATAGGAAGATGGCAGTATACTTGCTACTGTGAGAACCTGAAATCTCACATTTTGAAGAATAATTGAACTTTATTTTGACAGTGGATGATGAATTTATTTTCATAATTGAACTGGAAACATATAAGTTACTTTTAATTTTAGTTGATTAAAGAAGAAGTCTTACTCTAATGATCCATGAACTATTAAGAAAATATGACAAAAAATACTACAAATAAACCTCTGCACATTATGTGGTATGCAGTTTTCTACTACTCTGCATATTTACCAAGATCAAATTCCAGCTTATAATAATAACAGATAGAAGAGAAAATGTAATTGGTTCTTTTATTTATGTATGGTGATTTTCCTTTCTGAAACTACTTTATTAATAGTCAATACCATATTGTCACTTTATCTTGTTTATTTTTTCAAGCCTTTCTCCACTTTACAAGAAATTTTCTAACATTTCGTTAGATCTCATTTGTTATGTAAGACTTGAGGTTCTCACAGCGGTGAGTATGAAGATTTCCGTCTTCTGGGTTGTTGCGCTGTGTAGGCTGGTTGACGTTAACCAACGGAGGCAGTACGACCTCTGAAACGTTGGTTAACATCTACCAGACTACACAGCGCAACAAACCAGAAGACAGAAAA